TGATAATTGGTCAGATAAGTGAGATGAGTGCTCTGGTATAGTCTCCGTGCTGCCATGGAGGACGTGGTGCTGTCTGTGCTAGGGGACCTGGGAAGGAGGCTTTGGAAGCTACTATAGATTGTGATGAGAGAGCATTTTTTCCTAAGGAAATGACATGAACAAAGGCGTGAAGCCCTCAAGGTATTTACAGTTGTGGGATCACTGGGTATAATTTACCATGACTAGTGTGTATCATGATGAGAAATTGAGGACATCTGTGGTTTGGTCAAGCAGTACCAGCATTAGATCCATAGGGATAAAGTAGATTTACATTGTAAAGGGATATGTATGCCTGTTGAAAATTTCAGACTCCTTTGTATGTCTGGAGAGCCACAGCCAGGGCATATAGGCAGAGACTGCTTGTTTGATTCCCGGCTGCCCAGACCCGAAATAATCACACAGAAACTGTATTATTATAAGACTGCCTGGCCTATTAGCTCTCACTTCTTATTGGCTAGCTCTTATTTCTTAAATTAATCCATTTTTTATTAATCTCTGTATTGCCATGTGGTTGTGGCCTGCCGGTAAGGTCCCATTCAGTGTCTGTCTCCTGCAGTGTCTACATAGCTTCTCTTTGACTCTATATAGTAAGTATTGCAGCTTGTGAGCTGGAGAAATAGTTCCGCAAGTAACAGGTCCTTACAACAGACCTGAGTTCAGTTGCCAGCACCCACATGGTAGCTCACAACTGTCCATAACTCCAGTTGGAGGGTTCCAATGCCCTCTGGTCTCCATGAGCACCAGGCATGGAGCACATGCACCTCTAGCTTGGAATTCCTGCCTTTCCCTATTCTGCACTGCAATAGGCTCAAAATAGCTTCTTTATTAACCAGTGGTATTTACAGCATACAGAGGGGAATCCCAAATCAAGGGCAGACTTATGTTTTAGGAAGAAAGCACCAGCAAGCAGATTGGAAAAGGAGATGTTGGTTCATTCATTCATTCATTCATTAAGCATGTATTATGTATGTTCTTTGTGAAAATAAGTATTTTAGGTTCAAAGATAGCTGCTCTAGTAGTGCTTGCCATTAAACAATGAGACATATACTTTTCCAATAAACAGGAAATGAATTGATTGACAGTATGCTAGAAGCTAGTAAATGATAACAAAGAAGAAAAAGTACAGGACCTTGTGCATGCCAGGTGAGGAGTCCCATCTAAGATAACAACTTGTCAAGTTCAGAGACTATTGTAATTATTCAAGTAAAAGTTGAGGCCTGGAACCATGACAACAGCTCAGTAGGTAAGAGCACTTATTCTCACAGAGGACCCGAATTTGGTTCCCAGCACCCATGTCCAGTGCCCACCACTGTCTGTAACTCCAGATCTGAGGATCTGACACCTTCTCCTTGTGTAAATTTTAAAAGAGGGAATAAGAGGCCTAGACTAAAGGTGAGACTTTAGAATGGAGAGAAGGGGTGTTTTGAAAGACATTTTTCCAAAAATGAAAGACATATTTCATTTTTGAAGCTTTTTCATATAAACAAATGACAAGTCACTAATGCATTGTCTCAAGGTGAATGACTGTGTAACACCTACCATGGAAGTGGCTAGGACTGTCACAGCCAGACCCCTCCATTTGCCTCAGAACTGCAGCCAGGTCCTCCGTGGCCTCCCGATGTCTATGGTAATCAACTTCCTGCATATGTGTATCTCTTGTATAGCTTAGTCTTGCCAACTTAAAAGCATGAATGCCTTCTAGTCTTTTTAATATAGGTTTGTTTACTTATCTGTGTGGTATATGTCTGTGTGTGTGTGTATGGTCACATGTGTTTATGCTCATGTGTGTGTGCTTGGGCACATGTGTGTATGTGGATGGTTGAGGTTGATGCCTGGTGTTTTCCCAGTCGTTCTTCACTTTATCTACTGAAGCAGGGTCTCTCACGTGAACCAAGCTCTTGCTAATGTGACTACTCTAGTGAGCTAGCTTGCTTTGAGATCCCTTGTCATTGTCTCTCAAGTCCTGGAAGTCCGAGCAGGCCACCACATCCGCCTAGGTTTATGTGATGCTGAGGCTCCCATGTCTGTGTCTGGTCCTCACATTCTCACAGCAAGCAGCAAGCAGCACTCTGTTCACGGCATCTTCTGCCCAGCCTCTTCCTTTCGTTTGTCTCAGCATTTCTCATAGCCTGGACTCGACTGACTGTAAACTCTTAGTACAGCTCACCATGCTCTGCCCTTTGTATGTTTTCTCAGTTGACAGCTGGACCCCAGGCTTCATCAGACTCAGGTGTCATCCCTTTGGCACAGCTATTGGTAGTAGAGTGTTCTTTCATTGAGTAGCACATACTGTCTAGGTGTCTCTTCTGCAGAGTACAGCTATGTGTCTGTACAATGTTTAGAGTCAGCAATTCACTGGGGTTGCAAAATGGAACATTTTAACCAGATGTGTTTTAGTTATTAGCTGTAATGCTTTAGTTTTTAGGTCTGCATTTCACTGAAATATATATTCATATACCACATATATGCCTGGTGCCCATGGAGACCAGAGGGCATTGGAACCCTCCAACTGGAGTTATGGACAGTTGTGAGCTACCATGTGGGTGCTGGCAACTGAACTCAGGTTGGTTGTAAGGTCCTGTTACTTGGGGATCTATTTCTCCAGCTCACAAGCTGCAATACTTACTCTATAAATGTTTCTTGTTTACTGTTTGGTTTCTCAGTTGCACAGTTCTTATTAGAAAGACAGCATGAGTGGGTTTTATCTTTCTTACCAGTTCTCAAGGTAATGTGTTACTTCCGTGTGATCCACAGTTTCATTGCTCTATCTATGTTTTCACGTTAGTGTGCTCTTATTAGAAAAGGGAGCCCTGATTGGCTGCACTGCTCTAGTTCCTTTCTATCTCACACTGGAGCAGACCAGCCCCTCCAGGCTTTAGGTCCTGCTTTTCAATTAACTCACTAAATGTTCAGGGTGTATTTGTCAGCTAGTTGGAGGTTCTCTTCCTTCCCACACATGTCAGGTGTTCCTGATCTTGGGCTTTTCTGCACATAGGTGCTAACACTATTTAGGTCTCCTGGTTGCTAAGTGGTCATAGCCAGTTGTATTTTGGGTTTATGGTAGATATCACCTAGTTTTGATATGTTTCCCCTGGAATTTTGGATTGTTATTAATTGGTCTGTTTTTCATGTGATAATAAATAAGATTTAAAATAGAAGTTTCAGATAGGAGAGATGACTCAGCAGTTAAGAGTGTACACTGCTCTTGAGAGAACCCAGGTTTGGTTCCAGCATCCATGTGGGGTAGCTCACAATGTCCTGTAATTCCAGCTCCAGGGAGAGCCGACGTCTATGCTTTCCACAGGACCTGCATTTGTGTACACATCCTCCTGCACAGACAAAGATGTATAGCCACACCATTACAAATAACTGTTGACGGCCGCCAGCCTCCTCTTTCCAGAAGAGGCTGAGCCATGGAGGATTTTAAGTGCAGTTGAGAATAACTAAATTGGAAACTTTTGAGCCTGAAGATCAGGTGGGTGAGTTTCTCTGAAGAAGATTTAAAGTTTGAGGAAAGGAGCAGGGGGCGTGAGTGAGGGCAAGATTTGTTTTGGTGTGTTTGGCATGAGCATAAAATACCAGAAAGTAACAGAAATGTTCTGTTAAGAGCTTTGCTTCTAACCTTTCCTAGACAGAGCTATGTCATGAAACCCCTACACCTTGAGGGCGATCAACTCCATCACAAGTAGGAAAAGAATACACTATTTATGGCAAAATAAATAGGCAGTGTGGAATGAAGCATGATTAGTAAAAACTCAGAGTTAGAAATTAGGGTTCAACCTGAAGATCTAAAAAGCAAACATCCAGCCATTGGTCCTTACCTCCACCTCAGTCTGAGATGGCGATCCTGCCTCCCAGATCTCAGAATGAGACTGTGTGTCGAGAGCTGTATACTCCTGTTTTATAATTCTCTCTAGGGCTGGGATTAAAGGCATGCACCACCCGATTTCTATAGCAACTAGTGTGGCTACTGGGATTAAAGGTGTATGTAACCATAACCTGGTCTGTAAGGCCGGTGGGACTGTTTTACTCTCAGATGTTCAGGCAGTCTTATTTATTAAAATACAATTGAAAATGCTACTACAGTGGAATACAAAGCATCCATCTGATGATGGAAGAGACCTTTGTAGTGAGGAGGCGAGCAGGCCTGCTTTTCGTCCAGCCCAGCTCCCACCTGGCTAAGTTTACATCCGAAATAACAACACCCAAACTGTATTCTTTTAAACACTGCTTGGTCCATTAGTTCTAGCCTCTTATTGGCTAATTCTCACATCTTGATTAACCCATTTCTAATAATCTGTGTAGCACCACAAGGTGGTGGCTTATCGGAAAAGATCTTAACCTGCGTCCATCTTGGAGAGGAGAGGCGTGGCGACTGTCTCACTGCCTTCTTCCTCCCAGCATTCTGTTCTGTCTACCCCACCTATGTTCTGACCTATCAGGCCAGCAGTTTCTTTATTAATTAACCAATGAAACAACAGATAGATAGAAGACCCTCCCACATCAGACCTTAGTGACAAACACAAATAAAGCAGGAGCTGTATGTATTTTTCATAAACAGGCACAACACTTGTCTGTTGAGCAGCAATCCAGATTGCAGGCATGTACATCAAGAGATCTGGAACTTTGGCATCTAGGTGGGGTACCATGGATTTAGGGTATAATGTGAGAATAGATTGCTAAAACCTGAGCATTTTTCTACTTGGGACTTTAGGTAAACATGCTAAGCATTTGTAAGATGTACATCCTTGTGCTTTGTGTATATTTGTGTGCTCTCATGAGAGTAGTGAAACTTTCTCTATGGTGAGGCAGTCCAGGTGGGTCTGCACTGTGATAACCTCCAAGTGCATTTGAAAACATTGGTGTTTCCTTCTACACATTTGTTGGATTTACACACAAACTCAAATGACTTGTAACTTTCCACTTCTCTTTTCCCTTTGTCTTCTTTTCCAAAAATCTAGGCCTGCCTCCAGAGACCTGAGATCAGACTTGAGTCACTCAAAGAAGATATTAAGGAATTCTTTAAAATATCAGGTTTGTAAAGTTCCCCTATCTTTAAGCACCTTCAGACTCTGGGCTTCTTCCTCAAAACTGGTATAACTTGTCTGAGGGCTTCTGTTTGGAGAGGAGTGGAATTCATAATTTTTAATAAAATTGTGCAAACACTCAAGGACACTGTAGAAATGGCTGCTTTGCAGTAGTCAGTTGCTTTCTTCCTACTCAGAACATGTCACGCGTGTGGCGAATATATCCTTATGTAGTAGCTGGTTGTTTTACTTCCTGCTATGACTCTTCTCCTTCATTTCCTTACTTTTCTATGCTTTTAGAAGAAAACAAAACAAAACAAAAAGAAAATCTTAATTTTTTTAAACAAGAAAGGACGACCTGGCATCAACACTTGCATGTGGGTGCTGAGCTATTAGACGGCAGCTCCTTGTAATATTCACTCTGCTTTTGCTGATGACTAGTCAACAGAAACTGGTTCTTGTGCTCTGTCTCTAGTATGGACCAGATGGTTTCCAATCGGTCTCCATGACACATCTGTCATAGCATCAGTCCAAAGACGTTGGCATTTATTGGGCATGTTGACAGTGGAAGAAGGCATTACTCTTAACTCGAGAAAATGAGTCAATAGATTTACTTACATAGCAGTTAATGATCGACAAAATTCTTCCATAAATAACCATGATGCCAACATTTTAGTGAGTTAAATTTTATTAAGTTGGGGCTAGAGATATAGCTCAACAGTTAAGAGTACTGACTGCTCTTGCAGAGGACTCTGGTTTAGTTCCCAGCCCACAACAACCTGTAATTCTAGATCCAGAGGCTCTGATGCCCATTTCTGACACTTGCAGGTTCATGCATAAATTTTGATGGGCATATATACATTCAGGTGGACACACACATAAAATAAATTTTATAAGTTTAAAAATTTTTACTATGTTGTATATTTAAGACACTAATATTTATTTTTTTTTAACTGAAAAACAGGTTGGGAGAAGAAACTTCAGAATGCTGTCTATAGTGAACTGAATGTGTGAGTTCTTTTCTGTGTATTTTGAGATGCTGTTTCGGTTAAGTAGATTTCTTTTGTAAGTAGTAAAATTAGTGTTTCTGTCTATATGTATATTATCATTTCTCATTAGTATACTTACAGAGTTTCTAGTAAGATAACACAAATCACTACAGTCTGGTCTGAATAAATAATGATTAGGTGGTACTATCTATATTATCAAATTTGTTTATAGAGAATGTATCCATCCAGTGTAATAAGGTAATGGGATTGTTCTCATCATACTTATGTTCTTTTTATTGTTAAATTTTGACTATCATACTTCTGTTATTACAAACTGATCATTCTAAACATATCTTTTTCTTTGCAAGATTACTATTATTACTAAGAACCTAATGCTTTTATTTTCCCTGATTTACCATCAGGGTTTATTAAAGTGTATAGAACTTTCGCTCTAAAAAACATATCTCCAAAGTCTGGTGATGGTAGTGCACACCTTTAATCCCAGAACTCAGTAGGCAGTGTTAGGTAGACCTCTGTGAGTTCAAGGCCAGCCTGGTCTACAGAGCAAGTTCCAGGACAGGCACCAAAACTACACAGAGAAATCCTGTCTTGAAAAACCAACCACAAACAAAAAACCAAACAAGCAAAATTATATATATATACTTCAGGATGTCAGCTTAGTGGTTCATTCAACACCCCATTATTTGTCCTTTATTCATGGAGTGTTCACTGTGTGCCAGTGGGATGATTAGAATACTTAGCTCACCTTTTGCTCCCAGGATGTGTAACACGCAGGCCTATGGAGTTCCTGTGTCTGCACTTTTGTTTTAGTTTTCCCTGCCTACCTCTATTATGCCCTGCACATGCCCAAGACAGTCCTTTAATAACCAATGGTATTCACAGCATACAGAGGGGAACCCCATATCACACATGCATGGAAACACACATAGAATTGGATTTTTTTAAAAAAAAAAAGACTAGATAAAGTCTGTAACTCATAATGAGTACAGGGAGACTTTGACCTGATCTCCAAGATTAGATAGTCTTAAAAATCCAGTCACATAGCTAGATCATGGTTAGCAAGCTTGGTTGAGTCTTCTCAGATTGAAAGGTTGGATAAAGTGTTAAGAATACTCATAACGAATACTTGTAACTTGAGTAAAGCCTGGGAGAAGCTGAGGCTGTTGTACTATACAGGCTCTGTGTCCAGGGGATGGCATATTGAGAACAGGGAAAATGTGTCGTCACTGATGTAAGCCAAAAGAAGAAGGTGGACGCAGAGTGTTCTGTTGTATCTGCCTTCACTTCTTTCTTTTTCTTTTTCTATTTTGACACAGGGTCTCTATTCCCTGTACTCAGGAGGCAGAAGCAGGTGGATTTCTGTGAGTTTCTAAGCCAACCTGGTATATATAATGAGTTTTATTATACTTTTCATTAGCATTAACCATTGGATAGATGAATAAAACAGGCAAAATGGGGGCTGCACTTGTTCGTGGACCTCCTCCCCCCATAAAGGCAAAATAAATCTTTTTAAAAGCAAAATTAAGGAATGAATATTTGTTAGGTAATATTAAATAACTGGATCTAAACACACAAGCAGGCACACACACATATATATACACACACGCACACACACACATGCATGTACGCATGCACACACACGTATACACACGCCCACATGTACACACACATGCCTAATAAAGCTTACCTCATTTTCTTTGTTTTAATAAACGCTTTAAAGATTTTAGGTTTGTATGAACAGAAAGTCTTCCACATTCTGTTACTGACATGAAATCTGCCACTCCAGCTCAGTTTAGTACTTCCCACTTCAGACTGCAACCTTGTTTCAATTTCCATTCATTTAAAATAATACATGTTTTCTATTGTATTCACAAGTATCCAGGTTATATTGGAGATAATTTGAATTGCTGAAATGCTTACTTTGTTTCAGTGTCTTAAACACTTCATATTCTTTGACTTATTTATGCATCAGGACCTAGATTTAATGCCCAGCACTCTTGCCCTAAAAGAATAAGAGAGAGAGGGAGGGAGGGAGGGAGGGAGGGAGAGAGAGAGAGAGAGAGAGAGAGAGAGAGAGAGAGAGAGAGAGAACAATCTTTATAGCTACTTTTAGAAATTGAATTCATATTATCAGCATTTTATGGAAGCATAATCTATCTGACATATCCAATGTTTTGAGATTGAAATGTTCATACTCAACTACTCAATCAAGTTACAAAGAAATTGCAAGGAATCCAAAAATGTTTTAAGTAGTGCGGTGGTTTGAAAGAAAGTGACCCCCATAGGCTTGTAGGGAGTGGCAGCACTATTAGGAGGTGTGACTTTGTTGGAGGAAGTGGTCACTGGGAGCAAGCTTTGGGGTCTCAATGCTCAAGCCATGCTCAGTGTGACATTCACTGTGTGCTGCCTGCCAGGTGCCTGAACACCATGCTTCCCACGATCTGAAACTCTAAGTCAGCCCCAATTAAATGGTTTCCTTTAAAAGAGTTGCTGTGGTCATTATGTCTCCTTATAGAAATAGAGGCCCTAACTAAGACAAGTAGATTTATGATTTTTTTCTTGAGTCATATTCATAGCTATATTTGGGCACCTATGGCCCATGGGATTCAGGTTGGTATGCCTAGACCATGTCTTAGTCTGTTTTATGTTGCCCTTAGAGAGGACCCAGCAATTATCTAAGTGGTCTGCTATGATTTAAATGTCCCCTCCAAGTTTATGGGTGAAATGTATTTGCCACAGTAGCAGTGTTACCAGCTGAGACTCTTCAGAGCCCTCAGGGCACAGGAGCCTTACTCACCCTTCCAGATTATAAAAGGCCAGGCTTTAGCTGTTTGCCCAGTGAGCCTCTTACCTTCTGTCTCTAGATGTTGGCACCTGGATATCTGACTTCCTAGGGCCTAGTACTGTAAGCCAGAATGCTTCTGTTCTTAACTGATGACATTTTAGCTGGGCATAGTGTTGCACACCCATAATCTCAGCACTTGGGGGCAGAGGTGGGACCAGTTCAAGGTCATCCTGGTCAGTATAGCAAGTTCCAAGCCTGCCAGGGATACTAAGTGCTACCCTGTGTGAAATAAAAAGCAAAAACATTACACATTACTAGAACGGTATAATTAAAACTTCTATTAGGTCTGGCATACACACCTGAACTGTTAACAAATATTCTATTTCATTTGTAGCATGGACTTCAGAGGTGAGTAACTTCTTACTAAGAGAATTCTTTATTCTGAGCTCAAAATGCTATTTAGCCGTCTCTTTCTGCTCCTAGGTATCCATTGCCCAGTCATCCTTCTGCACCTCCCGAGCATCTCAAAGAGCCTTTGGTCTACATGAGGAAAGCACAGGTTGGCCACGTTCATTTCTGTTTTCTTCTTCCATGCCAAGCAATGCAATGTAGAGTATATTTTTATTAGCACAATATATATATTTGTTCATTATATAAAGACTGGGTAAGAATCTCTTAAGTAATGTTAATAATTCTTGCACACTCTGATGCTCTATTTTCAGTAATCAAGGTTTATACTTGTTTAACTTTAGTAATCATGGAAAACAGTACATAGAAATAAAAGGGTCATAAACCATACTGGCTTGAAATTTGAAATAGGGTAAAACCTTCTATAACCATATATTCCTCAGGGCCTGCACATTTAAAAGAATGGAATATAGATGAACTAATGCATTAAAAACAAGCAAAATGAAAAACTAAAACAAATTAAGCACAAAAACTGCTAGAAAATAACATGTAAAGTCACTGAGCCTGTCACATGTTCCCATCTCTCTAGCTGTCCTTCACTGGGCAAAGCCCATCATCCTCCCGGGCACAGCCATGCCTGTGGGCCTTCCTTTGAGGGCTAGATGGGGCTTTGGGCCATTGCAGCCAGAGGCTGGGGTCTTCTCTCCAGTGTGGCCTCAGAAATAGATTAAAAATTTTATTATGAAGCTTTCAAATCATTCCTGCAGAAATCCTTTGACCTCATCCCTCTGCTCCATTGCTGTTGTAGAAAGTGCTCTGCTGTGTCCAGTTGCCAGGTTCACAGTAGTATACATTAGCAAGAGTCTAACTTTTATTTTCATTAAAACCTCCTCCAAATCAGATGTTGATAGAAACAGTGTAACAGAAACCATGGAGATTTTGAAGAAATATGTAATATTTATTCTAGGTGGTATCTCTAAGGTCAGATAGTATTGAAGGCTTTTACGGGCCAGTCTTACAAGCCTCCTCTCAGGGTTCAAAGGAGACATTACCATAAGCAAAGGAACTGGGATCTGAGGGCTAAGGAAACCAGCTCACCGTTTTCTTCTCATTATCTGCCATTTATTCTCTCGGCTGCAGTTTCCAGCTTATATACACATGCAGACACAATCAGCAATTCTCTGGCAACAGCAAGGGTACCAGGCTTGCATTTCTCAGGGCCATGAAAACAGATAAGGGCTCACAAAGCAGGTGCTTGTATCTTACTTATTGGCTAAGTGGGGGCGTGACTTGTGAAATGCTTGGGCTTATCTTAAGAGGCAAAACGGGTAAATAGAAGAAGGGACTATGATTTCTAAGGGGGGAGAAAGGGATTTTGTTTGTTAAACTACACTTGTGTGGTTAGTTAAGCTAGAAGTTTGTAAACAAATAAATGTAGAAAAGGGAAGAAAACACAGTAGCGCTGTGCACTTTCTAAGCACTTTCTTCAGCGGTGGCTGGGAGCTCAGCCTTGTGTCCAGGGCAACTGGGGTAATCTGCCAGAGGAAAATGGGTGGTGTTTGATCTGCATTAGCATTTTCACCAAGGGTTAGCTGATTAAAGGGAGTCTCTCAGCTCTAGAGATTACACCTAAATTAGGCTAGATCAAAGAGAAAAGCTATGGCTACTTAGTGTAAAATCCAGCTTCCGGTTAAGCAGCAGGTACTTGTTCTCGCTGAGACCACATGAGAAGGAATTCCTTTCTCCAGGGCTAGATAAGTGAGCCATAGCTTTTTCCTGTATCTTTAGAAGTAAAGGCACAAAAAGTTAATTTCCTAGACTAAGATCTTGTATCAATAAAACTGAGGTGAAGGTAAGTAGGAGAGCAGGGGTAAACTGAGGCTGCTGTCTCCCAAGTCAGCTGTGGGAGAATTCAAGGCACCCAGTATATATTCTATATATCACAATTATACAGCCAGATGAGAAGTCATCTTCCAGACTACCCACACATATATGTGCCTAGTAGATGGAATATTTTCATGCGATAAACACATAAAGCTTTTCTTAGGGAAGAGATGAAGTGACTCATGAGAGAAATTACAGATAGGAGCAATCAATTTCCACAGTCTGTAACTCAGTGGCCTTGCCAGGTGAGGCCAGAACCACTCTGCTGGTAGCTGGGCCTGTTGACCGCGAGTTATCCTGCTGTGCCTCTCATGGCCCTTGACCAGACTTCTTCTTACCAGGGGAGGGGCATGGGAATTTTAGACCTATAAGTAAAGACTATGGGGATGCATATAAAATAACAGTATAGAAACCATAGAAAAAGTATCACGAAGGCATTCCAGTGACTGAAATTCTGAAATCACCACATTAATTTTTTTCACAGCTTTTATTCCCACCATAAATGAGGGGGAAAGGTAACAAGTCTTTATTAACATGATACAAAGGATAACACACACAGCCGATTGCTTTATCACTCTGAGACTCATTAGCATTCTGTTGTCTAGGTAGTGAAGATGCTCTAGGTTGCCCTTCCCCAAGTGACCTCAGTTACAAAAGAAGGAGCAGAAGTATGTTTGTATATCCCGATCACCTGTCAGATTGAATGGAGCTATCTTAATGTCAAAAGAACCAAGCAATCACATCCTGAGTTGGGATGGGCAACTATGCTTGTTGATCATTTGAGTAATCCAAGCTCTCTGACCATCAGACAAAGTGGAAATGGGTCCACACTTCTCAGCCTCCACAAAATAGTATTTATTTATTTATTTATTCATTTATTTATTTATTTGTATAAAAGCATGATAGTTAAACATATTCATAAAAGAATTGTGTGGCTTTTGTTATAAAGATTTAAACTAAACAAAAACTAGAAGGTAAGTATAATGGATTATTAAAAAAAAAAAATTTCTGCGGATCCCCGAGTAGCTTGCTGCAGAATCCCAGTGGGCAGGCAGTGGGTAGGGGGTCCCGAGAGCAACCAGTCCTAGGCAGGGACTGTGCATGAGACCATGCCACAGGTCTCCGAAGGTGGCTGGTCCCCAGAGGCGTCCCCTGCAGCATCCTCAGCAACCGAGCCACGTGGTGGTGGTGGGTGAGAGACAGACAGATAGGCACACCATGTAGAGTGAGGTTGGATATTTA